CTTGGGACAACTATCGAAAACCTAAATCCTTCAGTATTCCTCATCCAAGCACTACAGAGGATATCCTCAGGACTTCCATAGAAAGACCTATCAGCAACGCTGAGGGATATGTATTGGATGTCCATAGGATGTCCCAGGAACGTACGAATTATCCTTGAATTTTAATTTTTCTGGGTCCCTCTAGGACCAGATCTTGCATAACTGATTAGGACAACCAAATGAGATGATGGTCTGTAGAAGATCCTCAAAAATTTTCCCAAGGATGTCCAATGGACTTTCGTGGAGGACATTGACGAGGAGTACTTATAGCTTACGAGCACTCATTCGTCGGCGAGGTGTAAGTCCTCGCAGGGACAACATATTGAAAGTACCGACTGGGACGTTATTTCTAGGACTTTGGAAGAGTACAGTTCATGTACCAATTGGGACATTATACGGATATCCCTGAGGGGCATCCGAAGGATCCAATTGGGACATCATACGGATATCTGTAAGGGGCATCCGAAGGATGTCCCTAAGGGACATTCCGATTGTTATACGATCTGGAAATATTGAGGGCGTCTAAGCAGACATTTCATGGTTGTCTAGAAGGAACATTATATAAGATCAGAAGTCATGCCAGAATTTCTACTACTCAGGACATCCTATGGATGTCCCTAAAGAAACTATCAAAATCATATCCCATCAGGGACATGCCAAGGACGACTTTGCATGGACATTCTACAATATGTACCACGTAGGACGTCTGAGGGATGCAATTTCTAGGACATTTGAAATAATGTACCAGCTGGGACATTCTGTGGACGTCCTTGCTCGGACATTGCATGAGATGTACGGGGAAGCAAGTTCCCAAACAAGAACGCCTATGGACTTAATTTTTACGTTCCTTTGAAATGGCAGGTTAGGATATTTTTCACTAACTTTTCATCGATAGATTTGACACTGGTTGAACCATATTCATTTACAGAATATTCTACTTCATATTCATGATACTATGGGCGGGTTGTATAGTAGTTATTCATGTGTCAAGGGCTGAAAAAATACTATTAACACACCTAGAAGGTCCATAAAAGCAAGTTGCGCCCTGAATACAACATTTCCCTAATAACACACGTTATCCAGATCCATTCATTTTATATCCATTTGAAGTTCAAGACATCCATGGACGCCCAATGGAACTATTTCTGATGTTAATCTAGTGTGTACTCCATCTGGTAACATATTTATGTCCATGGACGCATATCGAATAGCCACTTGGATGTCCATACCGGATACTTGGTAGTACATATTGGACATCCATTAGTTAATTGTCGGGATGTCCATTGTAGCGACAAATTCTGAGAAAAGTATAATGAGAAGAGGAAAATCTGAATTCATCTGTCAGAATTCGAAATGTAATATAGGTTATGTTTATTCCATTCATTCGTTCTGGTGGACTTTTATGATCATTCCCAGTATTTTATAGTTGAATTATTCCTCAGTTTCCAGTTTCATACGGCCTTCACGTTTCAAGTGAGTCCTTATTATTTTTGTGTCTATCCAGGTGTTCCTAATTGCGAATTGTTACGATAACATAACATATTTCTTGGATAGGTAGGTGAAACACCCTTCACCAGAATGAACAGAAGGAGAAGGATTTGAAACAGGTTCTTTCGACGTATCAACTATAGAATAGAGAAGAGTATCGGATGTTGACAAACTCTTGAATGATACGACAACAGATGATGTGTGGGAAAGAATCATTGACAATTTCGCAGTTTGAGGAATTTTCATCTTGGGGCCAATTATCTTGACTCATCGACCTACACTGACGATAATAATTTATGGAACACCTTTTTCACAACATATGGCTCTTGCAAGATGAGGCTTCACCACATTTCACTCTGAATGTCCACTGCTGTTTGATTCAACAGTTTCCAGATAATAAGTAGATGAAACGGCAGAGCTAATATACTATATTTCATGGGGAGCAGTACCTATAGAGTTTGAAGTGTACTTCAGACTTGTGAATACTGAACAGGAATTATGCAGACTGATTCAGAATGCGATAAATAGTCTCAAAAATAACGCAGGAATGAATATTTTCAAAAATAATGCAGAATTGATGCAAAATATACATTCCAGTTTTTGTGCTGCTGGTGCCTTGGACCACTTCTTTCGCAATTCATCGTCCTAAGTAGGGTACTATCTATTTCTTTCGTCATATCATATTTACTTTAGGTTTCACCCATGAACAATGTTTGAAATGAAAAGAAAAACCTAACCTATCTCCTGAATATGTATAGGTTGGTATATATGTCCAATATATGGTTACCAAATGAATATCCATCATGGATTCCGAATGGATATCTATCATGGATAACGTATGTATGTCCTAAAATGTGGAAAGCTATATATCCTATGAACATCCATAGGATGTCCTGTGTACACGAAGTGGTTAGGATGTCCGGGTGAGGATATCCATTGGATGTCCAATGGATAGAGGTGTGTTATTTGGGTTTATGCATCACACCGTTTGAGATGTCAATATGGAATCATCTATGCCACTGATGGCGAAAAAAAATCAAATGGTAGTCTACTCGAACTTGAACTTGAACAACAGTGAAATTACTTTACCTACTTCACCGCCCTCTGGACTTCTTCACCGCCCCCTGTACTTCTTTACTATCCTAGAGCGCTTAAGTGTTACTCTACTCCCGCATATCCGGGCGATAAAGTGCTACTTTACAATCGGCCGTGCATGAAATGTTTGAGTTACTAGTGAGTACATGATTTGTATGTATCCATGGCGACGTATATGCCGAAAACACAATAGCCGAAAAACCATTCATACAACAAAAACAAAGAGTGACATTTCTTATCACGATTATCGCTCGTCTACTACAAATTTTTGCGGTGCCACCACGTTTATCTTGAAGTTATAACTACGAATTTTTCATTTTACAATTGACATCACAATAATTATAATAAGTTTATAATTATTATATAGTTAGAGGTCTTCTTTGGGAATGATATAACATCTCAAAAAAACATCCTGATGCCTCAATTTTTGGAACATACCAAAACATCTCAGGGATACCGTACATAAATATATCTGAGAATATTTCTTCTCAATCCGTCGAAGAAGTCTTCTTTGGGAATGATATTACGTCTCAAAAAAACATCCTGATGCCTCAATTTTTGGAACATACTAAAACATCTCAGGGATACCGCTACCAGTAGGCACACAAGGAAATGCCAAAGAAGAACAAAAACAACAGGCAGATACAGGCTGACAATCCTGATGTAGTTCTACTTGACCATTAAACCAAAACGATAGTTGCTATTTAGTTTTTGGCCCCAGCTGTTCCGAACATCGTTTTGAAAGTGAAGGAAAAAAGGACTGAACATCTAGATCTTCTCTCCGAACTCCGCAGGCCCTATCTGGACCATTCTGTGGAACTATGGTCATCCTGATGATCAGCTCCCTAGGAGGCACACAACAAACGCTGCTCTCGGAGATCCAGGAAATTCCAGCATGCGATGATAAGGCACACAATCTAGCTGGTGAAATGTAGAAGGCCGTCATTCTCAAATCATTGCGTCTACTCAGGGCACACGGTTAATATGGTCCCAGTGATTACTCACCCCACAGGCTGTGGAAAGTAGTCACTGGATTTTATCCAGCACGACTCTGTGTGTCGTCAGAGGCCGCAGAGTCGTGGCTGGAATTGAAATGAATCTAATAATTATAATTATTATTCCGATTTTATCTCAGAATCATAGTCATAGTAAATCTGACTTTTATCCCAGAATTTTAATATAATTATTCTGACTTTTATTGCTAATTATATTTCATCCGGACTAATATCTCACAATCATTCTGATTCTGAATCATTTAAACTCATGATTATGAAAATATTCCTTCTAGGGACCGCTCTATGCTTTCGTAGTTTTCAACTAATTAAGTACTCGGAGGAGAAAATCTTTCTGGTACTAGCTTTAGTACTAGCTACTACACCTTCTACAGTTGTATTTCAGAGCGTCAGTTCAATACAGTAGATATCTGAAGGTTTTTTATTCAGAACGAGAATAATTCAGTTCACCTTATACTGTGCGCACCGGATCTGGTGGATATTTTCAAAGTGGTTTTGTATAAGTAAATAAAAGGATGACTGAATGCTTGATAACAGCTCATCAGATGAGATAACAAGATATCAATGGCTCTCGTGTTTACTTAGGAGTGTGCTGTGACAATACTATGGAATTCCGTATATTTCGGCTAAGAGTTGGTGGGTATAATAGAAGAATCATACCACGATTCAATAATGACAGTTATTATTATCGACAAATACTTACGAACCGAGTTGCATCAGCAACGAGGGAGTATCATTCATTGATGATAGCAGACATTATTGCGAGTAGAATACTCTACTTATTTCACGATCAATCGTATCTCAGGAATATCCACGGCAATGAGGCAGCATACTGAAGCCAATATATTTTACCTCTCCTCGAATGAGGGAGGAAGTCTGTACAGGGTATCCCAAAATTCGAGGGGTATCATTGGGTTCTCGGTAATCATAACAGGTACAAAGTCTGTTAAATTAGGGCAAAGTTGCGCAATTTGATGCTTATTATCAAAATGCCACCTCAAATGTTTGTGAGTTCCGAATACTTCCAATAAGATATTGGGAAAAAACCGTGAATCCGCGATTTCGTTCTCATTCTTTCTTTCTATTTGGTCCATCTTCTCTCAGTAAAAAAAACATTACTTAGATTTAGAAACTCGGAGAATAATTTTTCATTTTATTCCACTGGATGTAATCGAAATGAATTGGACATTTCTGGCTCTACAAGTCTTCGTCATAAGATCATCAAATAGTTCTTCTGATGACGATTTCAAGGTTCGAAACATTGGATAATTGTAAAGTGCAAAACATTCATTGAATCGAGTCAGTATTTCAAAATTCCAAAATGACATTCGTTCTCAACCCGGAACCGTGATTCAATCTTCTTACATTTTGATATGGCTCCACAAGATGACCATTGGCACAAAAATAGAATAATCACACACATCAGGCTTCTCATCGTCGCAAATTCAAAAAATCACTCCTATCATACTATAACATTATTTCTTATACCAATTCCTTTTATATTCATCTAACACAATATTCATGATTATCGAGAGGTATAACAATGATAGATGAACTGTCGTAGGAGTAACATTTCCTGCATTTGAAGCAGTATACAAGGTGGATCATGTACTCGAGATTTTTGGTAGTCGAGACAATAAAACGCCCCTCATATTACTAGAATGAATCGGCTTGTCTTCAAACAATATTTTTCACGTCGACATATGGTGTGTGTGTGCGATTCAAAGCCCAACTGACTAAATACCTTGGTCTTTTTCAGAAAAAGATACTTCAGAATTCCGTATTCAACGAGCTTTGATATCACGTATAAAGTCTGTTGAATCGATTATTCAATAACAACCATATTTTGAATCTACCTGTATTTCACGTTTCAATTTCTACTCTGTTTTACGTTCATCAAATGTTTTGAGATTACGTGTATGACCCGTTGAATAATGTTTCAATAGCAACTATATCTTTGAGCAACTTTTATTTCTCGTTTCGATCAATATTTTTTTCACGTTTATCAAACGTTATGAAATGAATGAATGATTCGATAAATAAATTATTCAATAACAACTTCATCTTTGAGCAGCCGATAATGTTCCAGTTTCAAATTAATAGATACTTTTCCACGTTCATTGAACATTTTGGAATTATTTATTTATTTATTTATTTATTTATTTATGTTCAAGGCACATCAACAGGATGAGTTAACATCCCAATCACAGAAATGCTCAGTAATAAATTTTAGTTATACGCTATTATATTCTTTACTAGTCACTAATCTATCGTATAATGAATTGATAGTTATATAATGCAAAATTGGGTGAAGAAACAATAAATTCAATTTCATTCAAGTGAGTACTTCAATCGCTAATCGTCTGGCTGTAGTGAGAGATAAACAAAAGAGATCAATATGAGAAAAATATAAATCATATTTTTTTTTTAGTTGACGGATGGGTGAATTTCCACATGCATTCGTGTGATATATCCTGTGATATAATAGGTTATTATTTCTCGTGACTCTGATTTTGGAATTCAAACATAATTGGCCTGAAATTGAACTACAATCTATTTTGTATTTGATCAGTTTGTGGAGAAAAATTAAATAACTTATAGACCTACGTGAGCTGAGTTTCAGGATTTTATAATGTCGAAGACTAGCTTCGTAACCATGGAAGTGTAGATGCCTGTTGAATCTATAATTTAGGTGAAAAATAAATTTTTTTTTATACTCTCAATTCTTTGAATGTACTTCTGATACGAAGGATTCCATATCAAACTCGCAAATTCAAGATGACTTCTTACCAGTGAGTTGTAGAGGGTGATAATAGATGATGAGGTTTTGAAGCCTCTGGATATTCGTAATATAAAGCCCAGATTTCTCAGAGACTTTTTTGCAATTAGTTCAATGTGCTGCCCAAAATTCAATTTGGAATCAATGATGACTCCAGGATCACGGATATGATCAACACTTTCGAGGGTGTCATTATTAATAGTATATACGTATTCTGTATTGGTACGTAACCTGGAAAATGATATTTTGTGACACTTTCTGGTGTTAAGATGTAATTTATGGTCAGAGCAGAAGTTTTGAAATCTGTGATTATCAGATTGGAGGTCGATGCAGTCGTTTATATTACTGATTGTTTTGTAGATTTTCATGTCATCAGCATACTGAGAAAAATGTGGGTACTGAAAACAGTTGCCAATATCGTTTATGAAGAGAGTAAACAGAAGTGGCCCCAAGTGTGATCCCTGTGGAACACCGGAGGTCACCTATACGTAGTTTGATGAATAGTTATTCAATTCAACGCATTGGCTTCTATTTTCAATATAGGATTCTATCCATCTGAGCAGATTGCCGTGAACACCGATATTCCCCAACTTTACCAGGAGTGTAGGATGGTGAACTTTGTCGAATGCTTCAAAAACGTCGGTGTACACGACATCCACTTGTTTTCTATTGTCCGAATGTTCTGCAATATTTTGAATGGATGGCATTAGATTTGTAACTACAGACCTACCCTGGATAAAGCCATGTTGATCCTCGCTAATAATATTTTTGTACTCAAAAAACATTTCTTTTGTTATTACAGCTTCTAAAAGTTTGCCAGGTGTTGATAACATGGATATAGGTCTGGAATTTGACACAATATTTTTATTGCCACTTTTGTGTATTGGTATTATCTGCGCCTGTTTCCATTTATCTGGAAAAATCCCTTGCATTATAGATTCATTATAAATAATTTTAAGAGGAATGCTAATGGAATCGCGAATTTTTTTCATGAATAAAGCAGGTAAACCATCTGGTCCGGGACCTTTGTTATAGATAGATAGATAGATAGATTTATTTGTTTCAAAAACATACAGTTTAAGAAAAAAACGTCAAAATTAGGCTGAAGTACATAAATAAATAAATATCTTAGGTATAAAACAAACATAATAATATACGAGATTTCACAGGTACATAAACATAAAAAGTATATGAACGTCTACTCTAAAAACATTATTCATCAGTCAGCGATGATTGGATCACAAAAGAATTCATCCAAGGTGTAATAAGATTTTTTCAGGAGCAAGTTTTTCATTTCATTCTTGAATTGGAATTTATTTTTTGATTCTTGTATAGATTTTGGCAGGCAATTGTATAATTCACATCCATTGTAATATGAACTTTTCTGATACCTGTTACACTCCGTTCATGACGTTACGAAAATACTGCAGAAAACAGAGCTATGCATTATTATTTACCTACTCTTCACTCTCTTTTTCATTGGTTCATAATTAAATTCATCTGTGATGTTTACTACTGGCTATCGATTGGTATTTCTCTGTTCGTTGTTATTGATTCTAACTCTATTTTTGCTGTAAATAAGGAATAATATTGTGATTTTTAGCCTACTAGTTATCGTTATTGCATACCTCTTGGTCAGAATGTTTTGTTTACAAATTTTGGTAGGTAGGTAATTGGTTCCTGGAATTGTCGCACATGACTGATTCAGTCCACAGGTATTTCGACAAATTTCATCTTGAATTTCGAGTATCATTCTTGTAATTATTGTTGACGTTATATTTCCAAATAAATATCATTGTTAGGTAATTATTGTAATTATTGAAAATGTCAGTCAGCTTGATGACGTTTAGTATCTATTGACGGTAATGACACTAATGACGGATGACCACTATCTGCGAACCTCTGCATGCATCTTCTCGAATTTTCGACATTGTCATCATGGAACATTGACCCATAGTTCCCTTGCTATCATCACGAATACGGGCTCTAACGGCTCACAATCAGCACCATATCTCGTTATGATGATTTGGCACTCTGTATCTTCGCCATTATGTACATGTTCGTTGATTTGGCACTAATTCCTTGTAAGTATGGGCGTTATAGGTTATGTTACATGGTGATGAATGGTCATCGCACGGGAAGAAGATGATGACGTATTTCGCCCCACTATTCAGGTCTACAATGATCCTCAGTTGCGCATGACCGCGTTTGAATATTTGAAGTTTCAAATCCAAACAATAATAACTGGCAATAATATATTCTGACTTGAAATAAATGGTGATTTAATGATATTCCTTCTTTTCTGATGGTCTAGACACCTCTCTTGATATTATCGACATAGTTTTCACTACCATGGTGAGGTAGAAATGCCATGTACAGGGTGTTCGCGGGGATATCTCCCGCCTATAATTTTATATCGTCCGGTGATTGATGTGTGTGGGAGTATAGGGGAAGATACACAAAAAAGGGTGATCTTCCGGTGAGATGTGGCAAGGACAGCCCCTTCGATCTTCATAGGCACCATTTTGTCTGCAGCTGTCTACCAGCCTGGTCACAAAAGTAAGCCGTGAGATCTGTATCTTGAATAATTTCGAATTTGTCTAGCATTCGATTTTCCATTACTTAGTGTTGGGATTAATTAGGAAAAGATCTCAAATTCGGGATATCCATTATCATCGCTGGGATGGGATTCCTGTTGCCTCTTTAGAGGGATTCTTCGTGGCTGAAATCCACGTGGCCGACGACGAGACTTGCTGTACCACCACTCCTGGAACCCACACACCATCCAAGGTACTATATATTCTTTTAATCATCAGCTGCTATTTTCTTGTCATTCCTTGTGTTGGTAAAATAACGCACGATTGTCGTCATTCCATATAGGTTGGCCCCCTTCAACTCCCTGGGACTGCTGCACTGGAGTCTGCGCTGGTGCGGTAGCTTCGTTTTCGCCTGCTTTGGAAGCCTGTGTGTTTGTGGCTGAAGGGCGACACACAGGAGACACCACCTGATAACGCTGTCTGACTTCACCTGATCCCCCTGTACATCAGAGCCAGATGATACACATCAGGACCTGCTCATAATTTGGTGAGTTCGTTCCATGCACCACCAGGGATAGTATTTTACTTGGGATAAACTACCACCAACCATAATTCATCAGTTTTAAATTTCATTCAACATAATAGAATTGCAACATGTCTTTTGTCTCATTGATACTGATTTATTGAGTTATTTTGTTGATTAATAAGCTATATATCATCATACTGTCTCAGAGAGTTGATTTTGAGCAGTGATTGTATTATTTTACACTGATCTGAAGAGTTGATTTCAGTCAGTCAATTTATATTTCTTGTTGTTGCAATAATTGTACACTGTTTAGGTAATATTGCTATTGATACTCAGTTACTTTGGAAGTCTTGAGCCAACTATAGTATCATTTGGAGCACATTAGTTGTCATTTCAGAATTTACTTGTGATTAAAAGCATATTCATCCCTATCAAACTTAGTATTTTACTAAGCCTAACGTACCCACCCATTTGTCCCGCTGAACTACCAGTGTCTAGTTTCTACGGTATCAAACTGGGCACTAAAAACACTTTTTCTGTTGTCAATACAATTAAGATTCAAAACACCTAATAAATCTTAGGTAATTCATCAACCAAACTCAGGGGTAAATAAAATTCTATTCCATCTTTTTTTTACTACTCACCCCCTGAGATTTAAAGGCATAACATACCGAGCAGATGAGTGTTGA